TATTTATCAGCATAAATATAACATATATATATATATTCATATATAGTCATATATCCTATGTTATCTATTCTTTAAAAGGGTATCTTTTCAAATGACAGAGACATGACTAGCAAGAAGATAAACTAGATGAGAGTATATTTTCATGTATTATAAAAGAGGTATAATAAGAAGTGTGTTTTGGAGGGTAAGTGACTTGCAATTATTCAGAAATAGCACCTTAGGAAGATCTGCAGGATTGGATATCTTTCCCTTATATAAACACTTACTCTTACTCGATCTAGAGGAAAAGAAGTATCACGAATATTTATTTTGCTCCTGAGAATATTTATTGAAACACACTAAACTTACTTTATTTCTATGTCAGAAAAATAACCATGTAGAAGCTTGAATTTGGCCTTCATTTAGTTCTGGAATGGTTTTCCATTTTTACATTCCTAATGTAAAACAGCCAACGAGCCACATTTGTTCATTACACATTTGGAACAAATGGGAGGTGTTTCCACTATTGTATTTCAAAGAATAGTCTTTTTTCAGAGATTTCTTCATTAAGCTTTTCCTTTATCCACACCATATATAATTCTGAATATCTCAATCATGTCTCTTATCATTGTTTCCTTTCTAAGACAATGTGAGGCAGCACAGGTTTTTGTTGTTGAAAGACTGTTCTGGAGTGATCTTTCTCTCATGTTGATTGGAAAAAATGTATATCAATTGTCTTTCAGATACTGTATTTGATACTTCTTCTAACAAGTTGACACCAAGCACAAAATCCCTCTGTTTAATAGATGTAGGATATTTTATGAACAACAGTGGTATATCACTTCTCAAGCCAGAAAGGAATGTGGATATACTTATTTTTCTGGATTATGAGATGAATGGAATATTAAGGGTGAGAAAAAGTACTTTCACTAATTTTCCTTTTGAATGCTTGTGTGCTTACATGATGGAAATGTACTTTTGAGTTTCTTAGATCCATAATTATAGGTCAGCTATACCAAAGAAGCCAGGTTTACCAATATGGTGGATTAGTAGAACAAATATAATTTCCGTTTAATAACTATCCAAGAAACAAAAAAGGATCATCTTTATTTTACTACAAAAAGTATATGATTGTTTGATATGTGCTATATGATAGAAGCCTATATTTGAACATTAATTTTAGGCGCCCACACAGATGATGGAGGAGAAGCAGAGTTCAAGCAACTGAGACAAATAAAATGCCTTAAGATAAAAGAGAGAAAGGGAGAGAAAGAGAGAGAGGGAGAGGGGGAATGAGAGAGAGCCAATTGCTCCAATCTGTAGGATAGCTTGTTAAATTCCATAGTATTATATCTAATAGGGCCTCTATTTTGAATGTGGAAAGTATGTAGTTTGTCTATAGAAGAAGGAAAGATGATAGTGTGAAACAGCCTTCTCTAATACTGCTTTCCTGAAGCAATATAGAATCTATTTTTGTGAAAGAAAGAAAGAAAGAAAGAAAGAAAGAAAGAAGAAAACAAAAGAAAGAATAGGTTGGAAAACCAATTGAAAGTTGTCTGGACTCAATGATTATGGGTCAAACTTCAGCTGGATTGGAAATTTCATCTAGAATGTCCTTTCCTCCTTTTCCTTATTTTATATCTTGTACAGTATTTCTAATTGACTTGTACAAAGGTTGTATAAAAGTTGAGAAAACAGAATTGCATATTCAAGGTACTGTATGGTTTAGCACTGAATTTTCTACACTGCTTATCATAGACAATTACAGATTTGGTAGGGGAACTTCTGATTTACCTATGGGAAGCAAAATGAATATATTTGGGAAGATTTTTCTTTTTTGGTCTCTTCTTCAGCAACTGAAGATGATGTCTGACTACTGTGAAGTCCAAGGTATTCCCTTTCCAAAGGTTCAAGTGAATGAGAAAGAGAGAAAGGATATGAAGGAGTGCTACGTTTTCTTAGATGAAGATAATCCCAAGGCACCAATAGTGCTTTGTTTTCCACTGATCTGTCGCACCTTCAAAGAATTCTCAGCGCCAGGTAAATTCAGTTGACTTAAGCTTTGCTGTTTCTTCAGTGATTTCTTTAATTCATGTGTTGACCGAAATCCCTTCTGCAGCGGCACTTCCCAAAGTATAAAGAAAACTACACCTTGCAAATTGTGCAAATGCACACATTTTCAAATTGTGATCATTTCAATGTATGCATACACAGACATTGTTCTATTTTCTGAATATTAATCAAGTAAACAGGGCAAATTTAAGAAGTGTGGAATTCAATTCCCAGAATTCCCCAGCCAGCATGTTCACGCATCTTAAGCCCAAAAATCTTTTTAAAAAACTACTGAGCTAGAGGAAGACACTATTGAATTATTCTATTTAAAAATAATTTAGGTAGTTCCAGACTTTAAATCTGCACCTGAAATATACTCAGCAACCCAGATTGGTATATTGGCCCTCTAGAGACAGTAAATGGGAGAACTGATTAAACAAGTATCATAACACAAAATTTGCAAATTATTTGCTTGCATTACATTAGGACATACATATGTAAGGGTGAAATTTGTGTCATGATGTTACATCATGCATTGTGAATTTAATGTGGTTTTGGATCATTTGTGAATGTCTATTGTATATACGGATATCCTAATACTTCATTTCCAATATTTATGAAGCAGAGAGCTCATCAAGAAATAATAATGAAGCTCAGCTATGGTGGAGGAAAAAAAAATCTTTAGCCTTATTGTTTTTCTGCTGTAGTCTCTGTTCCTGCCTTAGGACAATAGGCTGCATGTAGAGAATAACAGTAGAATAATAATTCCCTGTGCTTGTGAGTAAGTTCACCAGGAATCAAATCATGGGTGGAATCTATTATTTGATTGTTGCAGAATACTGAAGTGCTCTGGGATTTAGTGCAACTGGAAGGTTCCCTAAGCATAGATGGGCACCATTCAAGGTGTTAGAAGGTTGCCTTTGATATTCTGGAGATCATTCAGGGATATCTAGAAAGGGTAGGGTTGAAATTTTGAAGACTGCTTTTTGTTGGGCTATGGTTGGGGGACTGGAGACTTCTCAAAAAGAAACCAATCCTATTCTCACCAAAATTGACTCTTTTTCATTAAATTCTACACATCACAGGGTGCTAGAGGGATGCTTGAAAACTACATACAGCCACTAAGTTGTTTATTTCTAGCCAGTAAGACCCTGCTTGTGTCCCTTATTTTACCAAACAGCTTAACAATAACATCTTCCTAAAAATATAATTAGCAGTTAACGTAGCATAGGAATGTAGCAGAGCGAAGAGGGCAGATGCATACAGCTGTCCACAATGGACCTCATTTAAGATTTTACTTTCCTCCTTAGGTCCAGTGGGAATATATGGAAAGAATGTTGGACAAAGGTTCCTCATTGCTCTCCAGTCTGGAGATTGAGCAGATATGGACTCTTTATGCATACTTTTGAGATATATACTACAGTTGTGAAAGATGAACGTTAGCTAGTCATCTACACAGTAGGGCTTTCAATGGTACCAAGACAAGAGCAGAGCTTTATATTGCCTTAAAAAAAGAGGTTACTTGGCTTAGAGAGATGCTCTAAGTACAGGTAGTCCTTGACTTACAACAATTCACTTAGTGACCATTCAAATTTACAACAGCACCGAAAAATGTGAGTTATGATCGTTTTTCACAGTTACGATCTTTACAACATCCCCATGATCATGTGACCAAAATTCAGATGCTTTTGCAACTGGCTCATATTTATAATCTTTGTTGTGTCTCAAGATCATGTGGTCACCTTTTGTGTCCTTCTGACAAGCAAAGTCAGTGGCAAAACCAGATTCACTTAACAACTGGGTTACTCACTTAACAAATCCAATGATTCACTTAACAACTGGGGCAAGAAAAAGTCATAAAATGGGATAAACTCAATTAACTAATATTTCACTTAGCAACATAAATTTTGGACTCAATTGTGGTCGTAAGCCGAGGACTACATCTATCATTTCCAAGATTACTCTTCAAACCACATAGTATAGATTCCTTGCAAACATATTCATATTCTAATATGCAAAAGCTTCGAATCATAAGAGTAGTTATGGAGAGTTTCAACCTCCCCCCTCACCCTTGACATTTCAAGTTTTATTTCTCTGGAATGTGTTCAGACCAGGGGTGGGTTTCAAAAATTGTTTGAACCTACTCTGTGGGCGTGGCTGCCTTTGTGGGAGTAGCTTGCTGCCCATGTGACCGGATGGGAGTGGCTTGCCACCCATGTGACCAGATGGGAGTGGCCAAGATGATGTTATTACTTGATATTACTAATTACTAGATATTATTAATATTACTAGATCATTATTAATGACACTGTAACAATTTTAAGTTATTGTACCAGCCATAGTATACTGTAACCATTAGTCCAATTCACCACAATAATTTACACTGTAACCATTTCAAACTATTCCACAAACAATAATTTAAAATGAAACCATTAAAAATATTCCATACACAATAAATTACAACAAAACTAAAAAATTTTTAAAAAAATACACAATACAATACAATACATTTCAAAGTATTGAGTATA